TTTTACCCTTTTACCCTAATATTCACCTGGTGATCCTCCAAATAAGACACATCCTGTCTCTTTGGCTACACTTATTTCATCACTGTGTCCATGGAGGGAGTCATGGTTGTAACACAGGCTGGACTTCAAACATGTCTGTCTTTGTTTATCTCCATGATAAGATGGCTTTATGGGACTAGTAGTTTACAAAAGAAAGATAAGGATGTTTTTGCTGTCTGTTCAGCTCACAGGAAGTGACAAGGACATGGCATTTCTGGCAAAATCAATAGGTATTTTCTGTACTTGACAAAAAATGTTGCAGCCACTATATTGAAGCACCGATGAGCTTCTCTATATACTACTATTTTAGGGTTTAGATATATTTTAAGAAAGTTAAATATAGTGGTCTTCCTACTGAGTTAAAAAAAATTATATCACAAAGTGTACATATAGATTCATTTGTGTGCGTTTTTTTTTTATTTGGCTAGAGTAGGGAAAGGGATAATACCCCTGGTATTATTTTATATATTTTTATGCAATCTGTCCAGCTAGGGAAATTTTACTTTGCTTGGTGTCCTGGAGGAGACCCAACATGAAGAAAAAAATCTCTACAAAGAAGGGAATCTCTCTCTTAGAAAGATGTCTCTAGAACAGGTGTCCCCATTGGAAAATTTACCATCGCCTCTTGTTCTGGTGACATCTGTAAGATTTTGGATTTCCCTTCACATTCTGACAAATAGGGTGAGTCTAACTAGTTGGGACACATACAGTAATAAAAACCTGACACAGGTTCTAATCCTTTCCCACTCAATACACCTTTTTTTAAAGTTCTGCATGTACATTTACTTTAAAGCTGAACACTAGGCAGTAGCTAAATACACAGATAAAATACATATATCAGAGCTGTTTTACCGGCTAGAGGATTTGCATTGCTGTCCAGCCTGTTCTGAGATTTACACAGCTCTTAGAATCTGGTTATGTTCTAAATTGGTGATTGAACATTACAACCATGATGAGTGCATCACGGGTGAAATGCACAGGCTTATGCATTGTTTACATCCCAGGCCCAGGTACAGACATTCTGTTATAAAGCTAGAGGAAGTAATCGATGGACTACAAGTTTATTGATGTCACCACATTGCTCCATTAGGATCGGTGAGTCCCTCTGCCGCGGTGACCAATGGGACTTGTATTCTTTCCATTCCCAGATCCCTTTGAATGGATGACGTGGCTGTGTAGGGTGAACCAGTCACAGCTGCACCGAATTCAAACAGAAACAGATGCCTGCAGAAAAGCACCCCTAAATATGGGTGTAACATGAAACATGGTCACGAAGCTGAAGTAAGCCTTAAAAGAAATACAAAGGCTGTCATTCAGGACTTTAGTAAACTCCAGGTAGCAGACTGTCATGTAGATCAAGTAAATACACTAGATGATTCACTAAGTTGGAAAATGTAGTTTACTTGTTGAGACCCTTTGATATAATTTATGGGTTGATCATAGATAGTATTTGGCTACCCCCTCCTTGCTATGTTACACAGCATCTCTAGAGCTTTTTCAGTTTTATTATGTAGGTGGATTATTATATTTTTGTGTGTTAAGCACAAGATATATCTCTTAAATCAATGCTCTTACTGAGAATTTTTACTGAATGTTGCTGTGTTTTATAGTTTCAATTAATAATGCTCCTTGTCCTATTTGAAGTATATAGAAATATATGCTGTTATTGCTCAACTTCTGATATTTGTTCTCTAGTATAAGCATGCCTGGTCTCCGACACATGAATGTAGTAATGTAGTGTAGTATGGCTCAAGTCGGCCCACTGCATAGCTCCTATCTGTAGCACCTAGCTGCTGTACTGGAACTTGAGGTCGTATGTTTTAAATGTAATCTGATGTTTTACAAGAATAACTATTGCCTCCTAATATTGTAGATGCTAATTGCCCAGAATCTTCTGCAAGCTGCATGTTTCCTTCTGAACACAGAGTGGAACCCCTTCACCAGAATAGCAGTAGTGGACCAGTAACCCAGGTAAGTGTCCGATAAATTTCGGCCGTCGAAACATTTTGGCCAAAAATGGTACTTTAAGCAAAATGCTGAAAAGTACCATAATGCCCTAAAATGCATCCCTAGCTTCTCTCCTCACCGCTGGATGCCGGTCTGTGTCCCCTCCGATGTCTGCTACTCTCCCTCCCTGTCGGCAGAGGCAGCGGGGATCTGAGGGGACACAGACTGGTGCCCAGCGGGGAGGAGACCACTGTCACTGGAGGCCGAGCTCTCCTCCCGCACCGCCCCGCCTCCTGTGACAGGACTGATCACTGAATGTTTGCAAATAACTGAGGACATAGTATGTTTACTGTGCCATCCGTTATGAATGAACAGGAAGTACCATACATCACTTCCTGTTCATTCATGATTGTGGACATAGTAACTGATACAATATCCACAGTTTATGAATGGACAGCACTCAGTACAGAGGTCTCCTATTCATAAAAGGGGCTGCAGATAAAGGGTTTTAGGACTCTGTGTCCTCCATCTACTTTTTTTTTTTTCCCCCCCCAGTTTTTAAAAGGGAAATATCAGGGTTCTGTTTAGATCCCTGATATTTCCCCAGAGCCACCGACAGTAAAGTATAAAAATAAAATAATTAACAAGAAATAAAATGTTTTTTTTCCAACCTTCCTAAAAAACATTTCTTTTGTCATTCAATTAGAGTTCCACACCCAGTTGTTTGGCAAAGTCTACTAACCATAGTGTTGTTGGAGTGAAGATAACCTCAACAGAGAAACAAGCACTTTCCAGTGTAACTGTAGAATTAAATGGCCAATTACAACAGTCGTCTGGGCCTAACACAGCAGGTAAGACTAAAGTATTGGTATATTAATTTTGCAATAGCTAGCCCTCTGCAGTGTATCAATAATAGCATACAGAATATACATTTCATCCTGCCTATGTTGTATAAAATGGATAGTCTGCATTTCTCAGTAAAGAGTGTGAAGGTATCTGACACATGGAGTTTAATACCATTCTTTTGTGGCCATGGCTTGGTGTAATCCATAGATATAAAACGTTTTACATTGCGTTGTAATTGGTCATTTTTGATAAACAAGTGGATCCAAAGACACGTTTAATGGGTTGTCATTTACTTTGTGTCCTAGGTCCTCATACATCATCTAATTTGAATGATGTGCATGCCTTGGACATAGGAATTTTAACACCTGAGGTTTCAGCATCCTGCATTGTCTCCAGTGCACAATCTATGGTAACCCAGCAGAGCATTAAAACTGAGTCATCACGTACAAATGGGGCACTTGTTAGAGATGAAACTTCACAAACTACACTCAGTACACAACGTGAAGGTTTGAAATGAGTTTCACATACTGTATTCTCAGCCATTTGTCTGTCAAAGCAGTTAAATTGCAGGGTGGACATTAACATTGCATGTGTATTGAATTCTGTATGAAGGTACAAAGTAAAAATGTTTGCATGATATGCTGTCAGTATGTGTAGTTAGTAGTATCATGTGTTTAGCACACTGACTACCATAATGGATGTAAAATGTATGTATTTATCACCCCAGGCAAATGTTCTTAGTGTGCATTTCCCAGTTTGTAATTGTATAAACATTAAATTTTCATATCAAGTGCAGATGTTAAATGGAGCATTAGTGCATGTCATAGTCTGTTACAGCATCTGTCAGCGCCACAGAACCTTTGTCAGCAAATGCTATTTTAGTAGTAATTTGTTTTTTCTGGTTTGTGATACAAACGGTGGACAATACCACGTTTAAGACTAGACTAGCATTCATCAATATAAAGTACAAGCAAACCCTCTATAGCAGGGCTCAAAATTTCCACTCGCCTGCTCGCATTTGGCGAGTGGAAATTCAGTCAGGCTTGAGTCAGTACCCGACTAGTGGGAGCAGCTGCTCCTGCTGGGCTCTCTGTTCTGTCAGCCGCAGCTCTTCACTGAGCTCCGGGTCGAAAACGGAGTGATTGGTAATGTCTGCAGACCTTAGTAATCTCTCAGATCTAGAGAGCTCCGGGCCGGCCGTTTTTCTACTATGGCTGGCCCGGAGGCAGTTAAAGTTGTTAATATTTAAGAGGGTATGTTTAGGGGCGGAGTTAAGGCCGGGGCAGGGTAAGGGATAGGTGGGCAACTGGTGGCCAGTAACTCCTAAGGCCTGGCTAGTAGCTCAGGACTTTAAATTTTGACCCCTGCTCTATAGGATGTTTGGTAACAACTGGTAAAAATGCAGTATACCCCTATACACTAAAAAAATATATATTCATGCTTTTTACTTGGACAAAGAGCAACTATCCATGGTACCGATCTGTATAAATCTTGTGTCTGATCAAAGTATTTTAACATTGCTAAGATGAGGTAATAAATACCAGCATCTTCCCCAAACTGAATTATTAGATCTAGATTGTCAGCTGCATAGGCCAGATTCCTCCCTTGTCCCTTGTCCATTTTTTTCTTTAGAATCTTAGAAACAAAGTGCAAATATCAGGGCTTATGTGGAAATTTTCTAAAGTTGGTTCGGTATATTTTTTTATAAATGTAAAAGTGAGTTCAACCGCAAAATCTCATAATTACTGAGACCTTTTTCTTTCCAGCTACAGTCTCCACATCGACAACACGCACAAGTGAGAAACTGATTTCCCAGTCAAAGAGCGCACTGGTAAGTTACACCTACTAACAATAAGAGATAATACACATCAGTGTATAGATCTGTTAGATCGACTCTTTCACGCAGATTACTGATCACTGATATACAGAACTAACAAATTAATTTATTTTTGTTTTGTGCATGCTGAGTTTATAAAAAAAATGCATTACATGTGCATGTATCTGTTCCTAGAAACTGAAAATGACACTTCCCTTGAGTAAACTGAATTTACTTACTTTGCTGACAGGCAAATGGGCAGGTTACAGAAAAGTCTGCAGTAAAGAATGGCCAGAGGAAGTGGTATGATGTCGGGATCTTCCAAACCAATAGTGCTGTGGTCAATCACTTCTTTGTGCTTCCAGAAGCGAACCAGGGCACATCAGGCAAGGTAGTATGCCTACATCACATGTGTACAGGGTCTGTCTTTTGTGTTTTTTTGAGTAATTACTTTGTACCTGTTTTGTTTGCTGCAATAAGGTAAACCTGAACTTTGCCTGTGCAGTGCAAAACAACACATTAAGGCTGGGTTCACACCTAGGCGTACCGAATATGCGCGTTTTGGGCCGCGCGTTTTTACCGCAATTCGCGGTTTAAAAAAAACGCACGACAAACGGGCGTTTCCGAGGGCTATCCGGCTGTATCCTAATGGATACGCGTGGCGAATATGCCCCAAAGAAGCTTCTGTACTTCTTTGGTGGCCACCGGCAGGGGCCGCCCCTAGGCTGTAATTGGTCTTTAGTTTTGTGCCTAGCGTCCTTCTCCTGCAGGTGGCGATATTACCCTACCATTCAGGATCTACGATCTGTTGCCTGTGTCCTTCAATGAACGGAGAGAAAAGGATTTTACGGTGAGTACAAAAATCCTATTTTTTGATGCGTTCCAGTTAGAGCTGCAACAGTTAATTGATTAAGTCGATTTAAAATCGACGATCCAAAACGTTGTCGACGTTTTCGATCGTCGGTTCGTTGGCTATTGATTGATTAGCCAGGACGCTGAAGCCGTGCACGACGCTCTTGAGCAGGGAGGAGAGCCCAGCCTCCTGTGACAGCGCGGCCTGTCTCCGCCCCCACACCGCTCTGCCGGACTGTGATAGGCGGCTGAGCGGTCTAGGAGAGACACCGGCCGCTCACAGCGCTCGGCCTGCTGTCACTTTCTCTCCTCCCCGCTGGGACACAGCAGCGCCCAGCGGGGAGGAAAGAAATCACGCATGCGCCGATGTATCTGCAGTAAAATGACACTTTCGGCAAAAATTACACTTTCTATTTTGAAAATAATCGTTAGCTGCAGCCCCAGTTCCAGTTTAAAAAAAAAAAATTCGAGTTTCACCTGTATATTTTTTTTTTTTTGCTGGAGTGGGGCTGTCAGTATGTTAGCTGCGGTGCAGTGTGTTTGTGACGCGTTTTGCGTTTCCGGAGCGTATCCTGACCGTACAAAATGTGACATGCAGTATTTTTCTGTCGTAACCTGAACGGACTACGTACGTGAGAACTGTAGCCCATAAAACACATAGGGATACATTGGGATGCATTTTTAGTGCAGGAGCGTACGGATCAGGTCAGCACAGAAAACGGACGTTGTGTGAACAGGCACTTAGGGTCACGGGAGAACATATACTAACCTCCTCCCAAACCTCCTCCTGACCCAAAGCTCAGGCTATTGCCCGCAATACACTGAGAGTGTTGCAGCCGGGACAGATTCTGACATTACTGTCGAGATTCACCCAGCTGCGTGAGTGACAGCTGGTTCTGCCTAATCTAGAGGCAGAGCCAGCTGTGCCCAACCCCTCCCCCATCCGTTCCTTCACTCAGCGCTGGAGGATTGGGGGGGGTGGGGCGAATCCCTGCGGGGAGCGGTGACTGACCATCACCACTCACTGCAGGGAGATGATCGGTAAGTGAGGGGATCAGTGCATGTTTCTGTTTCTGCTCACTTCACGATTTGATAGAGCCGACCTGTGACGGCTTCCTTGTTACAGGTCGGCTCTAACTGAGGATAAGTGGAAATCACTCACCTCATAGTTCTCCTTTAAGCTGGCCATACACTATGCAAATTTTAGTCTGTTCTTGATGAACCAGCTGAAATTCGCACAGTGGGTGCCGCTGTCAGCATCCCCGATCAGCTGATCGAAAGGAACCGGTTGCAAAATCTTTGAACGAACAGAGCGGGCAGCCAATAAACCGCCGGCCGCTGTCGGAATACAATGAATACAGCGGGAGACTCCTCGATCAATGCTCATAAGCTTTGATGGAGTCTGTAATATTTTATTCATTCAGCCCGCAGGTTGAACAAAGAAAATATTTCTGTGTATGGCCAGCTTTAGGTTTATCTCTCGAAGCCATATTTTATGTATGGCAGTTTACTACTGTTAAGTGTGAAGTGGCTATTCGTGTTGTTTTTGTTTTAATTGATTGGCTAAAGGTCCATTTAAGAGCTGCTTGGTTTTCTTCCTCCCAGGATGCTGATGCTTCTTGCTACACTTTGTTAAAGAAATATGAACTTGGTCCCGGCAGTGTGTACAGATTCAGAGTTGCAGCAATTAATGGATGTGGAGTTGGTGCTTTCAGTAAAATTAGTGAGTTTAAGACTTGCATTCCTGGATTTCCTGGAGCTCCATCATCCGTAAAAATTACAAAGGTGAGACCCTAAAAAAACTGGCACATTACTTATTCAAACCACACATATTAAAAATGATTTGTTGGTTCATAATAGCCTGCAACATTTACTAAGTATATAATATTTACTATGGCATCCTACTTTCATACAAGCATAACTATTCCCTTTTCAATATCGTACCTAATAATCACTGGTAGGGATGCACTGATGCCGTTTTTTCGATATCGAGTATGAGTACTGATATTTTTTTTTCCAGTACTCGGCGACACCCAATAACAATACTGGAAGTCCCATTAAAGAAGCCGGGCGGCATGTAATGACTCCCTGCTCGGCTTCCTGATAAGCCGGGCAGTATGTAATGCCTTGCCGCCCGACTATCTGGTTAGCTGTCTCCATGCTCCCTCCTCACCAGGTGACGAGGAAGCATGGAATCGGCTTTCTAACAAATCAGGAAGCCGGGGGCCAGGTAATAACTCGCCGCCTGGCTTCCTGAATGGCCAGCTCTCTGCCCACACAGGAAGCCGGGCAGCGAGTCATTACCCCACGCCCAGCTTCCTGATTCACTAGGTGATGAGGAAGCATGGAGCCAGTTTTCTGGCCAATCAGGGAACCAGAGGGCAGGCAATGTATCCCCTGGCTTCCTGATTGGCCAAGAAGCCAGCTCTCTGGTGACGAGGGAGCATGGAGACTGCTTCCCAGCCAGTCAAGAAGCCAGGAGGTGTGTAATGACTCCCTGCCCGGCTTCCTGATACCTGAAGTTCTGGTATTTGGATGGGCATCGGGAGCATTTCGGAAAATGGTTGGATAAATGAGGTGATCCAAACAGGTAGCTTTGCTTTAGCTACCAATTAAATATATTTCATAATCAACAAAGAATATTTATGAATTAAATAATTAACCACCTGCTGTCTGGCCGTTGTAATTAAAGGGCCGGACAGCGGACGGAATGCGAGTGGGCGTTTTTTATCGTGGCGGCACGCACAAATGGGAAATCGGCTTTGAATGTAAACAGCCAGCGATGGCTGTTTTACATACAAGCGTTCAGATGTCTGTCTGTTTGTGCGCCCCCCCCTCCGTTGCCGCCGCTGCTGGCTATCCCGAGCTCCGCTGTGACCGGACAAACTACAGTGTAGACAAGCTGCGGTGCGAAGTGGAAGGTTGCGATTTTTTTCGCTTCGCCTGCAGTGTGTCACAGCCTTGAGAGGGAAAAGGAGGGAAGTCTGTCTTAATGCCACCCTTCCCTCATGAGAGTGGCAGTTTCAAGTCCCCTCACTGTATCTGTGTAGTGTGAGGTAAAGTTCAGTAAGGTCATGTGACCTTAGGGCTTAGTGGCAGTTTCAAGTCCCCTCACTGTATCTGTGTAGTGTGAGGTAAAGTTCAGTAAGGTCATGTGACCTTAGGGCTTGTTGTTGAAGGCTCAGTCTCCCTCAGAAACAGGCCCACCAAATTAAGCTTGAAGGATGTCTGGGGAGCATGTTTTACAGGCAGATGCAGTGAACATTGCACTCCACACATAACAGTCTGTAAGACCATTTCGCCACCATGGTCCGCCGTTTGTAATGCATTAATACCTGCTGCTAGTGTGTTTGCACACGCACAGTGCTGATGCACCTATCTCGGGACAGCAGGCTTTTTTCAGGGACGCCAAACATTCTAATTTCCAGCGTGTCAGAGTGCCCACTTACATTGCTTGGCTCCATCAGAGTGCCCCTTTAGAAGGTTTAACCCCATCACTGCCTCACATTACGGCCGCCTCTGGTAGTTTGATTCATGCTTTTGTACTGGTACATGCTGAACAAATCGGATCATGTAAATCAGGGGTAGCCAAACTCCGGCCCTCCAGCTGTGGTGGAACTACAAATCCCATGAGGCATTGCAAGATTCTCAAAGCCACATACATGTCTGCAGGAGAGAGATGCATCATGGGATATGTAGTTTCACCACAGCTGGAGGGCCGGAGTTTGGCTACCCCTGATGTAAATCCTGCTTTTTAGCAATTTTCATCATTTTAACAAAGAATTAACTGTTGCACTTTGCTATAGAGGTGCTTTGTAATATTGTTATTGGGTGGTTTGGCAGAGTAAACAATGATCTTGTCAGGATTGTAGATTATCACAAAGGATGTCATTGTGCAGCTCAGAATACATTCCCCGCATTGCTTTCTCTACTGATCACCGTGACGACTTATCTCAGCCTTTCACAGCTGTTTCGTGTGATAATTTTTCTTTTCGCAGGTTATTAAACAGCCTCTGTGCAGCCGAGTAAAACAAAGTGATCTGCTGAGTAAAGTTAACTCGTGATAAAGCTAGTTTTTATCACGGTTTATTAAACGTACACCCAAATGTGTGAGTACATGTTCCAGTGATGGAAACTGGCACTGGCTGTTAGTGAAAGTTTCAGCCAAAAAATGAATTGACCTGCAGGGATAAGCCCTAGGAGCCAGCTCATGTCATACTGCATCAGTAATGGCATTTTAGTCTTCCACACGTTCAAAGAGCCTCCCCATTTCCCTATGTGTAGTGTAGTAGATCTTCCAATCAGCCCAGGCTGCACAGGCCCCATCCATCCTCATAAGCTTAAGAGAAGTTTCTTCCATGGCATTGCCATTGTCGATTGCACAGATGCCTCACTAGCTTGATAAAATCTAATGAAAACATATGTATGCTTATTTCAGAGTGCAGACTGTGTCCATATTTCATGGGAAACGCCTTCCTCGCCAACGGGAAACATTTTAGAATATTCTGCCTTCTTGGCCATACGTACTTCACTTCCTGAGGCTCAGAACCAGCTGGCGTTCATGAAGATTTACAGTGGTGTGAAGACATCCTGCACTGTAACCTCTGCTCAGCTGGCAAACGCTCACGTTGATTGCAGCTCCCGGCCTGCTGTTGTTTTCAGGATTTCAGCAAAGAATGAAAAGGGTTATGGACCAGCCATACAAGTTCGATGGCTTCAAGGTAAGCACTGGAACAATTGTTATATGGAGATGCAGGGTTCAAGGTGTGACTTGTAGCAAGAGACAGGCTCTATTCATTTGTTTTAAATGTCATCTTCATTACATACATATTTTAGGATAAATCTGTGTTGTGCCACAATAGCTCTGTTGCTTCATAGTTAAAAAATACTACAGCCCTCTGGGGATTATTATAACAGTTTAAACCTATATTTTTTAAAAAAAAAGCTTTTCCATAAAATTTAAGTGACAACCAATTGCAAAATCTCTTAAATAACAATTTATACAGCTATGCTATATTCAGATGAGCTTTTCCATTTACATAAAAGCAGCTCCACTGCTCCTTTCACCATTTTTTGGGTGATATCACAGCATCCTGGCAATTGGGAACAATACACATCACCTGGTATTTGCAGAGGGAGGGAGTAGGGAGCTGTTGAGGGGACTTGGGAAGTGCAAGGCAGGTCAATAAACAGAAGGCATATTAACCGCTTGAAGACCAGGTGTTTATGTTTCATCAGTTTAGTGTTATCAGTGATTGATGGCCCTAGAACTATTGCTCTCATTCCGACGTTGGTGGCGATATGTAACATGTGCGGCGTAATGGGCGCAATCGTCGTTTTCGCAGGTATGCGCACCTGACGCTTGTTTACATGCGTGTATGTAGGGGTGGGGACTTAAAAAAGAATTTTAAAAAAACAATTATTTTTTTTGAATGTGTAACTTTAAAAAATTTTGGGGGGAAACTTTACATTTTTTTTCAATTTTTTCACTTAACTTTATTGCTATCACAGAGGGGGCTGAGAAACCCCTCTGTGATAGCAAAAAAGGTGAAAGGTCCTCTTTATTTAGACATCAGGGGTCTCCAAGACCCCTAATGTCACCTAGGACCCCCCTGAAGAAGCTGATGAAGCAGAGATCTGCTTCATCAGCTTCTCTCCAGCATCTGAAGCTGGAGAGTGACACGAGAATGCGGAAGTGATGTAATATACAACACTTCCGCATTCTGACAGCGGAGAGGGGACCGGAGGGAGATCGTGAACCGACCTCCCTCTGATCCCCTGTGACAGAGGCAGTATGCTGGTCCCGGGCTCCCGCGGCGCGCCTGATCAGGTGGATCTAACAGGACGTGTATACACGCCCAGTTACATGCAAGAAGCTCCCGGCCGGCCGTGTATACACAACGGCCGGCTGGGAGGTAGTTAAAGTAAATGGAGAGTTTCTTTGATGATGTTGCCAGAGCATGAAAAGCTGCCTGGTAAGTCCAACAGGTTATTCACAAAAAGGGTGAAGAGTTTGGAGAAGGCAGGAGAAGTGAAAAATCTAGGACTTGGAAACATTCTCCAATTCAACTCAATTTCCAATTCAGGTATGTTATCCTAGATTGTTCACTTCTCCTGACTTCTCCAAACTCTTCACCCTTTTCTGAATAAGCCTGTTAGTTTTAGGGTGGCTTGATGTATGTTATCTTGTACAAAGGCAAAGATTGATTTACTAAACCTTTCCAGCAGCCGAGGGAAGGAGCCTCAGAACCATTCCATGATAAGAGAATTGCTTTTTTAGCATAAAAAATGAGAATAAAGGTGCCCATACACCTTACGAATATCGGCCGACTTTTGTATGCGTTCGCGTTTTCGTCCGATATTCGTAATGTTAATGGGCAGTGTACAACTGCAAATACTGTACAATCGATCGACTTTTGACTAACCATGTAATTCGGACGATCTACACTGCACATGAGCAGACGAAAATACGTGTGGTCGATTACTGCAATTCGCCCAGGTGCTTTCTTCTAATTACCCCTGATCCAACCTTGCGATAATCGGGGCAGGATGGGGCCGCCGTATGAAAATCGTACGCCGGTTCGATCATCGAGTGTCCGATGATCGTAAGGTGTATGGTCAGCCTAAGAAGGAGACGTTTAATCAGAGAATCTAAAGTCCGTTCTCCAAAAGGCAAAAAGATGGGTTACAAATATTAGGGAGGCCAAGGCTTATCTCCAGGATTATTTACCTTGGGCTCTTTCACATGGCTATCGATTTAGAAAATGTGGAGACTATATCTTAATTCATTCAAAATGGTTTTGTTACAGCAGAGAAAACGTGAAGGTCATTGTGGAATCGCCTTGACAAGATGCAACAGCAAAGTGCCACTTCCAATGGATGGTTGCCACTATTGTAAATGAAAGGAATTGTTTTCAGCGTGTGCTAAGTGTAGCTATATGTTTCACTTTTTGTAATATTTTGTAAATCTCAGAATGTTTATTTTTACATTATGCTACCTGTTGTAAAGCGATACATATATAATATAAATATATATATACTTTTATTCATGTATTGCAAAGGATTAGTGATGTACTCAGGTGGGACTACACGGCACAGTTTCTTTTTACCACTTAAGTGTATTATGTGAGTATCTAGTTTTAAGCAATAAAATTGTGTAAAAGGGATGGACAGAAGGTTACAGTGCAATACTCTAGGCACAAAGCACTTCCCTGGCTGCAGGGGCTCCGTGCTTGTACTTCAGCATGGAATTGTTTAGGAATATGGAAGCGGAACTATATAAAGTTTTTGTTTTGGCATTTTACCTTTCTGGAAAAGTGTGTGTTAAATGCCTTGCACTTTTCAAAGTGCATTTTTCTTTTGGAATATGTTGTATGCAAAAACAAATGAGTAAGTTTTATATAAAGAGCATTGGCCATACAATGACCAGTGTCCTAAACTAGGCTTTTACAGGACTGTGCAGTTTAAAGGGGTGTCCACCCTAAATATATGCCTCTGACGCTTCCTGACCGCCTCATGAAGATCTCCATGTGATCCTCATTCTTTGTTCAGAAGAACGGCTGTTTTACATATGATTCTGTTTACTTTACGTTTTCGAAAATGGCTGAAGCGTCACGTATCCCCATCCTGGGAAAACAGAGGGAGAGCAGGCTCTCCTTGGGAGTCGACAGAGGAGTTAGAATCAAGTATTAACATTTTGATTAGTTGGAAATCCATTTAATCTGAGTAGTATCTTGTAGAAGCAATTCAAACAGATCATGGCTAATGAATTAAACAGATGTCCTACGTAATGTAGGTGGACAGTCGACCCAGTGAGGTTAATGGATCAATTCGCTGAGCAGACAAATATCTTGGTATGCTATGTACATACACAGCCCAGCAGTACCTTTTTGCCAGATAAAGCACATTTTTTGAAGTTCATATTTTAGGGAAATACATTATGCTTGTCTGTTAGAAAATTGCCGTAAAATAGGTTTTACTTTCTATGAGGAATGCTATAATTACAGAAAGTGCTGTCAGCTTACCAATAACTTTAGGTCCATACACATGGCACTGAGGCGCTTCTTTACAAACACAGTTTGATGTCTACTAAAAATGACAGTATTGACCCATGTTAGGTTATACATTATAATCCTTATTTTCTTTAAAGGAGAACTATGGGGTCAGTGTTTTTCCCCATAGTTCTCCCGTCACCCCAAGCTCAGTATACCGCGAGCTACAGCTCGCGGTATACTGAGACGCCGCAGCCGGAGCGGATCCCGACGTAGATGACGGGATCCGCCCAGCTGCGTGAGTGACAGCTGGCTCTGCCTATCTAGAAGCAGAGCCAGCTGTACCCGCCCCCTCCCCCGTCCGTTCCGCCAGTCAGCGCTGGCAGATCGGGGAGAGGGGAATCCAGCCCCTCCCCCTGTCACGGCAGAGCCGTGACAGGAGCGAGAGGTGAGCGAACCTGGTATGTGTTCGCTCACCTCCCGATCTACTGAGCCGACCTGTGACAGTCTCATTGTCACAGGTCGGCTTAGAACTATGAGGTGAGTGGAAATCACTAATCTCATAGTTCTCCTTTTAAAGGTGCCCACACACCTTACAATTACCATTCGAAAAACAAATGCAATCTGCTTTTCATACGATAATTGGTCAGTTGATGGGAAGTGCACAGACGGGCAGATCGTACTTGCGATCATCGAAAAGCCCGCCCCGCTGAGGGGCGGGCTTCCGATGACGGCAATGCAGAACGGGCAGTGTGCGCGTGCGCACAGCGGCAAATTCCGCAGCTATCGGACGAGCAGGCTAGAAACCCGCCGACAATCGTACGAATTATCGGCGGGTTTTTGAGCATGTTGGTTCGACAAAGGACGTGCGACCGTACAGTAGAAACGGTCGCACGTCTTCGTTCACACTGCTCGATTCTCGTACGATCGCGGGATTTCGCCCGATTCTCGTACGAGAATCGAGCAGTGTATAGGCACCTTTACTGTACAACTGGCCGAATTTGGTTGAAAAGGCAGACTAGAAAACTTTCATCAAAACGGAGGAAAATCGATGGATTAGTGATGTTTTTGTACAACAGAAATTGCAACATGAACACATGTGCAAACGAAAATCTGTTCTGTCGATCGCTGAAATTCGGCCAGTTAGTATTGCTGCAGTCCTCTTCATGCTTCTTTGTGGCCCTTAGTGGTATAAGAATAGAGAAAAACTGATAAATGAATGCCTCTAGCTGATCTCGCATTAATAAGTTACACTTCATAATATCATTTTGCAGCCTAATCCTGTAGAAAATGTATTGTGGCCCCTTTTCTGTGATTTTAAATATAGACTTCAATTTTCCAAAGTGCCATAATCTTTTTTTTTTTTTTTTTTTCTTCTCTATAGAGTGAAGTAGGTGCAGCTTTCAGTAGACATTATGCAGCCTCTTTTGAAGATTTAGGTTTGACATGCCTGCTGTGGGTTAACATGTTGTAGTACATAGGACAGGTCAGTGCGGCAGTGACTTGCAGAGGACACACTTAGTACATAGGTGCCCCCTTGTGTCTATGAAAGTGCACTGCAGTCCATGAAAATGGGGATGGTTATATGCACGGCAAGAAGCATAACTTGTAAATTGTTATTTTACTTGAAAATATTAGCAGTATTTGTGAATAACAGATGTAGTTGCTGTAAGCAAACATGATAATTTATCACATATGTTACCCACACACTCGGCTAGGATGATAGGGCCACTTGAAATTAAGACCTAGACCGTGCTAAGGAATCAATCCTAAAATTGTATAGCAATATGTCACTCATTGTGAAAATACAAGTGCATTAAATTTGTGGCATTATGGATTCTATATTTCTACTTCAGTACTTCTAAATACATGCTCAATTCTATAATTCTATAACGTGTTTTTATACAGGCATAGTTTCTTTTAAATGTTAGTGACAGAGAAAGTGATAAATACAGTATATACAGACAAGGCAGAATAGTGGATTTCCATACCAGTATTTAAGAAAGAGTGTGCCTCTTCCATGTGCAAGGGTTCTTCTTGTACTTATTTATTCTGGAGTTCTTCTTTAAAAATTGAAGAGAGTGTACAGATGGCTCGGGATTTGGTCTTTTTTGTACTTTTCCTCATTAGTTGAAGCACCACCATTTGCTGAGCACTTCAAATGTATCACTGCATTCTCTCCATACCCATAGATCCTCTTAGGCCCCTTTCACATGGGCTGATCAGGAGAAGATCCGTGCATGGATCCTCTCCTGATCACAGTGGATGTCACCGCTGTGTCAGCACAGTTTTTTTTCCTCCTTCTTGCTATGAAGGAGAAAACTGCAATTACCGAACCCTTATGTCGGTCTATGGGGAATCGGATGTAAACAAACGTGTGTCCATTCACATCAGATTACCACCAATCTGGCTCAATCCGGTTTCGTTTGTTTTTCCGGACCTGGCCAGAGTTGGGGGTAATCAGGTGTAAATGGACGCCCATCCGTTTACACATGGCTTTCCATAGACTTACATTGGGCATCCGATTGGGTCTGCTTGAAAAACTGACAGGCATACCCGATCGGACCGGCTGCGTGAAAGGGCCTTAAAGGAGAACTGTTGAGAGAGTAAAATGTACTCTTCCCAATATGAAGAGCTGAAGTGGGACACTGCAGCTGTCACACGCTGACCTTATAGATTAAGAATTGAGTGATCACAAACTGCTGATCGGTCTGCTTATGGCTTCTCTCTTCAGGGAGTGGTGACCGTCAGTCACCGCTCCCACAGGGATTCACCCCTACCCTGTCTGTTGCTCCAGCACTCATTGGCGGGACAGACAGGGGAGGGGCAGAACCAGCTGTCTTGCAGTGGGTTGAATCCCAAACTGCATTTGGGATTCATTCTGGCTGCAGCACGCCTTTGCGCTGTCAGCATATAGCAGGCAGCCTGCTATATACTGACTTTGGGTCCCAGGTAGGGATGCACCGATACCGTTTTTTCTGCATCAAGTACGAGTCATGATATTTTTTGTTCGGTACTCACCGATACCGGAAGTCGCATTAAGGAATGCAGGCGGCGTGTAATTACTCACTACCTGGCTTGCTGATTAACCGGGAAGCCGTCTTCATGCTTCTCGTCACTACATGACGAAACAGCATGGAGCCGGCATTCTGACCAATCGGGAAGCTGGGTGCTGTGTAATGACATGGCACCTGGCTTCCTGATTGGCTGGGAAGCTGGCTCCCTCGTCAGTTGGTGATGAGGGAGCATAAGGCCCCATTCACACTTGGCGATTCGCAAATCTCGCGTTTGTCACGCGATTTGCATTTTGCGCGATTTGCTGCGCAAATGCTTGCATTGAAAAGCATTGAATCGCTCAATGTGAACGGGGCCTGGATCCGGCTTCCCAGCCAATCGGAGAGCCGGGCGTTGCTTCATTACACGGCGGCCGGCTTCCTGATTGGCCAGCTTCCCGACCAATCGGGAAACCAGGGAGCGAGTCCTTACACGCTGCCCAGCTTCCTGATACTAGAAATCTGCGTATTGGGCTAGGCATCGGAGCATTTCGGCAAGTATGAGTACCCGCCCAAATACTCTGCATCAGTATCAGTGCATCCCTAGTCCCAGAACTACATTAGTAATTCTGAATTGACCCAAAAGAGAAGTAATGCCAAAAAAAAGGTTTGGCTTTACCTATCTTTTAAAGAAAAGGTGTCACGAGAGAAGGGTGTAGGCAGCCATTGATCACAATCTGGAAATCTGCAGCTTGCCTAATGCCTTGTACATATGGGCTTCAGAGCAGAGGGTACAGCAAGCAATTTGCAAAGCTTTCAGCAAGCTCCAAGCAGAATTGTTGCAGTTATTAAAAGCACCCCTGAGCTGCGGTTTTTGGGTTAAGTATACTGTAGATCTTAATTAGAATGCCTGCTGTCACTTTAAACAAGCAGCGAGCAGGTTTTACTGAGCTTCAGCACTACTTTAGAGTTTGTT